ACATGGGTGAAAAAAAGGCCTCAGTCATGAAGGGGTTAATTGAACATAGAAGAGTGTACACATAAGAAGAGCAGAGTAAACAACAAGGAGGTGGATGGGGAGACACAGACACAGAATATAGATCATAGAGAAGGAATGAACACAAGGAGGGGATAAATGCTGGCATTCTCCCAATCCTCTAGAGGAAGATATGGATGGGAGAAGAATGAAGAGGTGACAGAAATTGTATACAAAGGATAGATGAATGAGTTTTTACAAAAACAGCAAAAATATTATGTAAATTGCACCGATTTAAATACAATTACTATTAAACTAAAAAATAAAATAAAAGCAGTTGTGGTCAGAGTGAACAAGTGCAGTATTGTAATTCAATTGCACTTTCTACAGTCACTGGCGTTTCGCTTTAGTCTTCTTCACTTAAGCAGCATGATCGTCCTCATAGCCCGCTAACCACTCATGTTTTCCAGGTTTTTATTAAAGTTGCTTTTTTTGAGCTCGCATACAGAGACAAAAAAGGTAGACACAAGAGGTTCAACTGCAGTTGCTGAAGCCAAAAGGTAAGACAAGTTGTCTTTCTACATGGAAGTCATGCAGAAACACAAACTCTGGGACATTCCATTTCCCTGGATAAACCATATCATCCCCAATCACATGCCCCCTCCATACTCGGCGGTGCCAACACTACAGCAATCTATACTCTACTCTTATGAAACACTCATAAATCACATCTGTGCTGAGCTGGTGCGGCTTCACTGCTCCCATACAAAAAGGGGGTCATATGGCTCACCTTTGATCTCAAGGTGCAAACATTTCAGCATGGAATCAACCAGATCCACCATATAGCATCTCTTCATCAGGGAGACTTTGATGTTCACAGAGGCAATAAAGATGCGTACCTACCTACATGTCCCCATTTTTGTACTTACTGAATATAGTTTCGATGTATAGTGTTACTCATTTTTACATTTTCATTTTAATGGCCAATTACTCAAGGGAGCACCTTCCCACTGACCCTGAAAAGGCATTTCTCCACTGGACACTAAAATATTCACTGTCTGCCTATTATTAAAGGACCCCCTTACATTGGTGGTTTGCAAAATGCTTATTTACACTTGTAGTCAGTGGGAAATGGCCCCTTACACTGGTGATCAGTAGTAGAAGGATTCCCATAGCACTGGTGATCAGTGGCAGGAATGCTGCTTTCATTGCTGGTCACTGGGAAGAATTCCCCCCTGACAGATCTCTAAATAGATATCTCTAGAGGTTGCTAGTGGATAAATACCACTGAGTTCCACATAACCCCGCTTAAGAAACACTGTTATCTGTAATAATTAGTAACATACAGCAAAGACTTTGCTTTGGTTTCTAAATCTTTAAGAAGCACAGACTACCCTTGCTGTATAAAACAATCTTGAAGAATGTTTTCTGCATTATCGTAGCTGATTTTTTTTAATGCTCTTTAAAGTAGGTCAAAATATAATATATATATATATATATATATCT